GATATCAATTCCTTTGGCTCTGGGCTAGCTAAGAGGCTGGCTGGTCTTCTCTGGCCACAAGCAAACCTTGTTATCATTTTCTCTGAGTGGCCTGGTGGGAGAACATTTGGAAAACACTGCTCTGGAGGCAGATTTCAAGCGTGACCACCCTTCCTTGTATTAGAAGTTATGCTTCCACTAGGGTAGCTAAGCAAGCAGTCTCTGATCATACTTAGAATTCACAGAGGATGTCTTAGTCAATCAAAACCCCAATATTTGTCTAGTTGTGTTTTCCATCCGTGCTTCTGCTTTTTGTGTGCCTTGTCTTGTCCTAGCAAAATTAGGCTTGGGAAATAAAGAATAGGATTTTAGATTTGTCTCTGTTAACTTTCATATAGTTAGATTTGGCCTCTGGTTTCATCTTAATGGGATCTCTTGGATTATTGATTTGCTTAGTCAGTGAATTTGCAGTCCATGTTAACTCCAGGTCCCCCTCATGTAGATAACTTGTGAGATTTGCCTTTATACTGTCGGGATCTGATATGAGCCTCCCAGCTCCCTTTCAACCTCTAGCTTGGCTTTACAACTCTTCTCAGGCATTCATGGACTCTGGGAATACTACCAGAATCCACCTCCACATTCTCTGTTTTTTTTCCCCCCCAAAACCTATTTGATAATTTTTTCCCCTTCAGATTTTAGTTCTGTTTTATAACCTTGAATTTGCTTTTTTGGGGGAGGGGTGGGGAATGTATTCCATTCATTTTCCTTCCCTCTTCTATTCTTGACTTGCAACACAGAAGGGTGATCATGACCATGTCCACACCCAGCCTGGCTGCTGTTTTCTTGGGAGGGATCAAGTGCAGCACCTGAGGTTTTCACTCAAGACCACTCTTCAGACTGACTCGTTTGCGATGGAGTATGGGTGTTTGTGAAAGTGCCCTATTCTTCTAATCGCATTCTTCATCTTGCTCACAGAAAGAAGTCTGCACATGCTTTCATTAACTTCTGATTTGTTAAGTCCACAGTCTTCTGCCTAGTCTCCCCATTTATGACCCCATTAAATAAAAGATTGCAGGAGTTTTGCCAGACTTAGCTCACTCTTAGTCAGTTCATGCTTTCTTTTAACCATCGTGGTTAAGAGACTATCGCTATCATAATTCATCTAGAATCTTTCCTGTCACTAATCTGTGTTGGCAAAATCCTGTAAGCCCAGAAATAGATGTAAAAGCTGTTTATAGGTCTGAAGTATTAAGAAATGGCACTTTCCTAAGAGGTTTCATAGGAAGCTGGAAGTCACAATGTGGCTCAGCAGTCTGGGAAAGTTATAGAGATGATTGGATTTGTTTATGTCATTGCCTGGAATAAGACTGAAATCAGTAGACAAGATTCAAACCAGATTCTGCCAGGGCCTACCCACAAATGTTATAAGGCAGCGTTTGGACATGGTATGTTAAATTTTCCACAAAAGTTAAACTAACAGAATGTGTCACCAGAAGGTACTTTAGGTTAATCATTCAGGCCAGTGCTCCTCAAACCTTAATGTGCACAGGAGTCACAAGGGGAATCTCATTTAAATTCAGATTTTGATTCAGTAGTTTTGGTGTGGGGCCTGAGATTCTTTATCTCTAACATATTCCCTAGTGGTACTCATGGTCCCTGGCTGCACTTTATGCAACAAGCACTTAGACTACACTCTATTTTATTTTCATGTGCAAAAACTGAGCTATAGACAGGTAAAGTGATTTTCCTAAAGCCACAGTTTTCCTGGGGCCCAGGTCAGTGTTTCTTTAATTACAAAATTGCTGAACTTAGTAAAACAGAGGTTCACAACCTTTTCTTAAGACCCATAGCATGTAGAAGAAGAGCTGAGTTTAGATTCCAGGTATGTACATGCTTGTACACAGGCACACACTTATGCACACACATATGTGCTTCTCCATGTTCTCCTTTCTCATCAATTGTGATGTTTAGCAAAAATGGATTATTTGTGGATCACAGAAACCATGTGAATTCCAACCAGATTAAAAATATTCTTAAATGCAAGTCAATTATGAATATGTAAACTTTTTTATAAAAATATTCCAGGACAATACATAAATTATTTCTGACTGCTTATGTGTAAATACAGGTGTTCTAGAGTCCTGCAAAGACAATGTTACTGATAAAACCAAGTGTACTTATGCCTTCCAATAATTTTAATAGTAACTCTGGGCTTGGCCCAGTGAATTCAGTGCTCTGGCATACACAAATGACCCTGGAGTTTTGGAAATTTTCTTTTAACTTTTGATATTGAATTTTTCTTGCCAGCTATGACTGTTTATCCTAGACTCTGTGGGGGAACTAAGCCATTGACAAATCCCAGGCAAGTGTGTGTGTTCATGTGTGTGTGTTCACACATGTTAAACTAAACAGTACAGATTCCTGACATTTTTCTCTTCACTGAGAAGCAGGAAGGAGGAAGGGGGAAGAAATTGCCTTGACTGGAAAAGGTAGGAAAGTCCTTGAAATGAAATCTCTCCTTTCTGCTAGAGATTGAGTAAAGATAATAAGCTAAACTGATTTTAAAAATTGGTCACAAATTCCCATTTTTGGAGGTGAATATCTATTGTGAGTTAAGCTGATAAGGTCACGTTCAAGGTCTGCTTGTCTACTTGACAGTAAGCTTCTTGGGGCCAACGCTGGGTCTTTGTGATCCCTTTTTACTTCCAAAGAGCCCAGAAGAGGGTATTGTACCCAATGGAAGGCCAGAAGTATCTCTTGAATGAAATATCATTTGCCCTCCGGGTCCTACTAGTGTGTTTCTGAGTGTAAGGACCAAATCTGGGAACTCACGAGGTGGTATTTATTTATCTAAAAGCTGCAAACCACTGCTGACTCCAGCTTCTCCTTTCTCTTTACTAGCCTTTTTTGTCTACTCAACACCTCCTTTACTTTCTTTCTTTATAGGGAGAGAGATAAAAAGGGAGCAAAAAAAAAAAAAAAAAAAAAAAAAAAAGAACAGCAGGGGCAGGGGGAAGGATGGGAGAAGGAGAAGACAGAGGCAGAACTGTGCCTGGCTACTGGTGTAGAGGAAAAGGAGCTCGGCCTCCTTCCTCCTTCTCCTGAGACATCCCTCCCTCTAGCTCCCCAGCTACCTCTGCTCTCTGTTGTGGGAACCTATGCAAGTTGGGACACTTTTGGTTATAAGTAATTGAAAATTCAGCTCTACTGACCTGGCTGAAAAACACCAAAAAGCACATATTGGCTCTTGTCATTGCGCATTCCAGAAGTAATATGGGTTGAATCAGTTTGTACCACTTTCTCTGTAATTCTCTGAAAATACTGCTTTGTGTATGAGCTTCATCCTCAGACTTGTTTTCCTCCATGTCTTAAGAGGGGTGCCCAGAGAAGCCTCTTGACAGGGTGCTTCCCAACACAGTTGAGCAGAAGCACTAAGCCTTGCTCTCACTATGGCCAGAAGGATGCCATGTACTGCCTGGCTTTGCTCAGGAGTGCCCATTCTTGAATTTTTTTGGAAGAAAGGGTAGGATGACCTTGGCTGGCTCAGGCCACTGGGACCAACTATGGAGCTGGAGGTGGAGTTCATCTCCTCAGCGTCATGGCTACTGTACAATATGAGGGAAGGTAGAAAGCTCCCCCAACTTTAGATGGGCTTCTCAGCTACTTCAGTGAGATTGTCAGATGTCTTTTGGTTCACTAAATAGGCAGGTTAACATTGTCAGCCAAACCACTATAAGAATGTTACCTTAAACTTCAAAATCATTCTGCTTATTCTTAACATTGTTGAAATCCCTGTCCATGGCTAAAGGGAAACATTTCATCTCTCCATTAAAGCTTATTAATCTACCAATTAATCATGTCTACTTGGTAATTACCCAGAATGAGAAGGCATTCTGAGGTGGCCTCTGGAAAGGGTAACAAGAAGAGTGAGGAAGTTGTACTGTCCCTGAGTGCATATGCCCCATTCCCAAATAAATAACCCTGATCCCAGGTAGAACTTGAAGAGCAGTGCCAGATTGACTAAGGGATTCTTGGGGGAAAGTACTTGCTTTTTCTATGCATCACTTTTTCTCATCTGAAAAATGGGTCTAAAGAATTTATATTTCCTAGAAAATTGTGACACATCATAAGGGCCCTCACTGACTGTCTCTGTTATTGTTACAGAGAGATGACACAGGTTAAGAGGAAGACAATCAGGAAGCTGCAGACATTATGCTTCAGAGAACGAGAATGGTGGTGAAGACTAAAGTATGAGGAGGGAAAAGAGGAGTGGGAAGTGTTGTGAGAGTGGGTGGGGTCACATTCAAGAAGATAAGGAAAGAGAGTGGCAGGATGATGGCTGCAGAGCGTATGCAAACAAAAGTTTGAACAGTGCCTTCTAGTATCATCCAGATGAGTACAAAGGCTTTTTTCAAAGGCCCATGGAACAAGGTGGGAAGATGTGCTGAGGCCAGACAATGGAAGGCCTTGAGTGCCAGAACAGGAGGTTGGGCCTTTTTCCTTTCTGTGTTGCAGCTTTTTGAGTAGCACTATGATAAGATGGACCCTGTGCCATTTTGAGAACATGATTCTGAATGCGGGACATAGGAGGGACCATAAGAGAGAAATAAAAGAGATAATCGGACAATACCATGTCTCATGAATGGATCAGGTGTTTCTCAGGGCACATGGCAGGGATGGTGGGCACATGATAAAGAAGCCTTGGGTCTGAAACAGAAAAAACTGAATTGAAGGTCCTGTAGCATCATGTATGTAGATGTTTCATAATAAATATTGGGAGGTTGGCAGAAGGGCAAAGGGTGTGAGAGCCCAGACTTGGATGACAGGAACATATGACAGGCTGGACATGTCAGCAAGACTTGTCCAGGTTTAATGTGAACTTATATTAGGGGAGAGACATGGCCTTGTGAAATGCAAGAAGTGAATGTGCAGTACAGAGTGCTGGTGTTTCATAATGCTTTGGCACGTTTTCTGAATGCTTCTGGCTGTCGGCCTGGTTCTGAGTTTCCTGTTTATATTTCCCCACATGTGTCATGCTGAGGATTAAAGCCCCACAGGCTCTGACACAGGCATCGCCCAGAACCTACTTTCTTCTTTCTTTTAGTTATAGCACATTTGGGTCATCTGACAAGATATGAGGTAAAAGTCTCGTGCTGCACAGACCAGATTCAGAGCTCTTTCTCAAAGAAGAAAGGAATTAGTCACTCCATCCAGAGCTAACTTCAAAATGGACTTTTACTTTTAAAAACCAACCTCAGCTCAGCTGGCTCCATTTGGGGAAGAAACCCACAGGCCTCCCCTGAAAGTGACGAACTCCTTCCAAGCTGGCCATGTCCAAATGCCCCAGTGATGAGGAAAGGAGGTGACAAGATGAACTGCACTTCAGGTTTGTGTTCCTGTATTTTTTCTTCCTGTTTGTTTACTTTTGCATTGATGTAATATTTAGAAGGGACAAATGAAATCTGATGAAACTGATAATGTTATGCTGTTTGTTGAAACAAGATTTGAAGATTTTCTTGGAGTTATGTGGCTCCATAGACATATCTAACTTTAAGATGTGTTTGGGAGTCATATTAAAAGATCACTATGATTATGGATCTTTTATTCTATCAAAGATTAACCATGCAATATACTCATATGGGAAATATATTTTATTACTCTCTACTACTTATAAACTCTAAATGGTTATGTGACTTTTGGTAAATTGTGGTTAATTAAAGTCTTATTAAAATGCTATTTGTTGCTGATCTTGTTACGGAAAGCCAGACTCAAGACACGATTCAGGGAATGGAGTAAGCCTTTATTCACACGCGCGGGCTCAGAGGAGGCAGTCTCCAAATTCTGAGCCCTGAATCGGGGTTAGATAGGGGTTTATAAGCCCTAGCATTCTGGCAGGAAACGGCTGGGCTTCCCAGGTGGGGGAAGGGATTAGCATTCAGGTGGGAGATGGATGAGATTGATGTGCTACGCAGGCGGGGGAAGGGATGTGAAAACGGGCTACAGGAACAGATAAGCAATGATTAACAGTTAACCTGGGAGGGGTCTCTGGCTAGGCTGTTCCTCTTAAATCATCTTGCCCTTATCAATCTTAGAATTAAGATTTATTTTGTCACTTTCCATTAAGCTTCTCTAGTTTTAGAGGGGCATACTCTAGCCCAGTGTCTGACTGAAGGTGTTGCAGTACTACTAGACATCTGCTGGTTGCACTTGAAGTTATAATATATTATGTTAGCAAGACTTATACTTGCTTCCTTCAGTAAGGGCTTAAAATGTAACCTTAAAAGCATGAGCATGTTTTTTTCAAAGGCTTTACAATGTGACACCTATAACTATAAGGAAGGCTGTACACCCTCTTTGTGGGTGATCAAAACTGTTTTGTATTTCTTTTTGGACACCCTTGAATTCCATAATTTCTATTAATACTGTCATTGTGGGAAAGAGTAAGAAAATGGGACAGAATCTGGCAGATTCAAGAAAGGAAATAAAACAAAAAGAACAAAATGAGGTTTATCTTTTAATTTGATTAAAACTAAAACTCCTTGCTCTTATGTAAAATGCTAGTTTGCACTGTGGCTCTGAGGATGGGAAGACCTGGATGGTGGGGAAGGATGTTTTGAAAGATACAGAGAGTGACCAGCTGGTTTGGGAAATTACAGTATTCACCCCCAGGTGACTGGAGACCATATGTGTGTTAGAGCCTGAGCGTGCTCACTATAAATGTATGGATCATACGGGCTAAGGAAGAGGACAGTGCTGCCCAAGGGAGCAGAAAACATTTCTTAAGATGAATTTGACCTTCCTGATAGTGGAAATAAATTTTAAAAGATAATAATGGCCTTTCTCAGATTCAACCTGCCGTTGTTAATCTTTTAACCCTTAAACCCTTTGGGCACCTGCCTGCTAGCATACTTCGGTGAAAAACTTGACAGGTGTGGTCAAGGACTGGCTAAGATCCACTTCTGAAACAAATCCTTAAAAATTTATGCAGACAGCACACATTCAATGTCAAAAGTAAAACTAAAAGGGAATACCTATAGATAAGTTAAAAAGATGAAAAAAATACCCCCTATCATTGTACATCATTGTAGTAAGACATTTATATAATTTACAAAGTTATCCCCCTGACAAGTTTAGCACCTGCCTAGCACCTGAAATTATTATAAAATAATATTGAATGTCACCTGGACCTGTAATATTTTTTTAAATGCAACCCCCATCATTGTGAGGTAATATTTTGGTGGGTATTTTTTTTCTCTGAACACATATACATTTTGAGAGAACGTTCTTGTGTTGTACCTGTTGTTTTATAACCTATTTCCCTTTCAGCAACGTATTGTGAACATCTCATCATGATAATGATTTTCTTTCTACAAAAGCTTTTAAATCTCATTATACAGATAACTTATTCATTCTTATTGGTATATATTTCATTGTTTTATATTGTTAATATTATCAAAACTAACATCTTTGTAGAAAAACTTTGTATCACTGCTGGATTATTTCCTTGGGACCAATTCCCAGAGGTGGAATTGTAGGGTCAAAGGGCACAAGGAGTTTTGAAGCTCTTGATACTTGCTACTAAATTAATTTAGGAAAATACTATTAACTTATATTCCCTCCAATGTGGTATGAATACCATTTTCCTACACTTTCACCAACATTGGGTTTTAATATTAAAAAAATAATACTACTCTAATAACTGGCAAGTCTACTTTCTTGTCTTAATTTCCTTTAACACAACCATTTGTAAAACCTCTGGCTTCTTATTCTGTCCCTTTCAGTTCAGTTTCTTGACTTTTTAGCTACTCATTAGCAAAACAAGCTCCTCTTACAGTAATTTATGCCAACCTAATTTCCTGGCCCTTTGACCTCATTTGATGTTGCTAGGCAAGTCTGCTGAATGGGAGTCAGATGCTTTTGATCTGACTTTTTACCATTTGAATAACCTAGGGCAAACCTCAGTATTTATGATTTTATCTCCTTTTTTGTCTTTAAAACGTAGAGATAAGAAATGACTTTCAACCTCACTATATAGTTATATTGGAAACATAAAAAGACAAGATAGAATAAAAAGAAAAAAAAGTAAAAATACAAAATGGCACTATTACTATGATTGTCACTATGAAGTTTATTTATATTCTTACTTTATAAAGTATAGTGTTTGGAGAACTGAATGCTGAAATTCTGACAATGTCTTCTAATTCTAAACTTGGAAAGTTGTGAGTGTGTATTACAACATATTTCTTGGTCCTTAGATTCAGCAGCAGCATTTGGTGTGTTCCCGCAGCACACAGATATATTTTTACATTAGAAAAATGTTTTTTACTTGGTTGCTTATTTATCTCAGTTGCATAGAGGATAACACTCTGCTCTTCTTATACCACATTATCATCATCCCCTTGCTTTGTTTGCTCTAACCCTTGAGAGCTCCTCAAGGGTGGGTGCTGGTTTTATCTGTGTTTCTCTCTCCAGGACCTGGTTTGGGGTCTGACACTTGGCGGGGGCTCAATAAGTGTTTCTTGAATGAGTCAACAAAAGGGAGCTAGGAATATTTTTACCTAATTCTGCAAAGACAGTAATATCTCAAAAAGTGATTACAGAAAATTTTTAAAATGGAGATTTTCTGGGAGGCAAATTGATTATTTTGTTTATTTAGTTTTGTTTGGGTAGATTTCCATTTCTGTTGAGTAAATATTTAAAGCTCTTAGTGGATATTAGACAAATAAACACAAGCCATGAGTAGGGCCAATAAAATGGAGACCGCAGCTTTGGCATGGGCAAGCCCCTTGGGCTTGGTATGAGTGTGAAAAGCTTTACAGTGAGTACAGCATTTCACTCTGATCCTCAGCTCAGTGTTAGGCTGTTAAAATCAGGACCAAACTGACATTTCACAATGGTTTAAACTTTGTACTGAATAAATAATGATGATGGCTAATACTTAATACTATGTGTGAGACTTGGTTCTAAGTATCTCAAAGAGGAAGTAGTCAGTATTATTATCTGATTTTGCAGATTAAGAAAGTGATACACAGAGAACTGATTTGCTTAAATTACTCCAGTAACTGGTGCACAGCTGGGACTTATGATGCAAACACTCTACTCTGGAGCCTATGCATTGGTGAGGGTAGGACTGACCAAACTGGAGAGACAAGGACATGTGGTTTTTGGATGGCCGATGTTTGTGCTGTTAACTTGGGTATATAATATGGTCACCATTTATTGCATTTGCACTAAGGAGTAGGTACTGTTCTGGGTTCTTTACATCCCTTATCTCTAATTTTTCTCACAAACCTGCAATATTAGTATCATTATTCCAGCTTTAGTTCCAAACATAATGAGACTCTGAGAGGTCGCGGTAAGTGGTCCAAAGATGACAGCTAGGAATTAAGGAACCATCAATTTACATCAAGTCTATTTAAGTTCCCAGATCATGGGCCACACTGGTCTGGACAGTTAAGTGCTGATATGCTTGATTCTTCCATCCAAAGGTGCCAAGAATCCAGTGTTACTTCACTTGGATTCATCTTGAGCCTGCAAACTCAGCCAAGTCATCCCCTTACTTAGGGGTTAGAAGGAGGCACTGAGCCTCAGTCTTTCTGAATCTACATAGGCCATTTGGAAATGGCTCCAACAATTGATTTTCAGGCTGATGCTCCCTGGCAGGACCATTCAATTTATCATGTCAACCAAGACATAATGTGTTTAACATATGTGGGGACACTTTCCTTATAATTCATATCTTGAGCCTCCAATTTTGCTCCAAGGAAGTCCTAAGAATGTCTCCAAAGGGCTGGGGTGGAGTATGGTGAGTGCTAGCTTGGAAGTGGAGGCCCAACTTCCTTTTCTCCTGAGCAACTTATCTATCTTCTCTTTGCTTAGTTGTTCTAGTTATAAAATGAGATAAGAATATAATTTAAAATGGTATTTTACTTATTTTCTCTTAAACTTTTCGGTAAGATTTTGGAATTAAACTTTTTTAAAAAATAGATAAGACATGTTTTATTTACTCTTGAACAAATATCCCACAATTTAATAGGCTATTCAGTGAAGTCTCTCTCTTTCTTTTCCCCAGCCATTTCTTTCCCTCTTTCTTACCAATAGGTAACATGGTTAATATTTTCTTGTTTCTTTCCACCTGTATGAGTCAGGGTCCCCAGAAAACAGAACTGATATGATATGTAAGTATGTATCTGAATAGGAAGGAATTTATTATAAGGTGTTGGCACATCCCATTATGGAGGGTGAGAAGTCCCACAATTGGCCACCTGCATGCCATAGACCTGGGAAAGCCAGTGGCGTATTTTCAAGGTTTGGGAACTGGAGAGCCCATAGTAGATATTGGTAGAGTCCAGGTCTGAAGGCCCGAGAACCAGAAGCACTGAGGGA